CTACCATTGACCTACACCAAAGTAGGGCACGTTGGTGGACAAACCAAAGAGGAAGGTCACCAGCTGAACAATTCAGGCCGGTAACTCCACAACCCTCATTCCGGTCCTATAGGTGAGAAAGCTATCAAACTGATTCTAAAGTGGTATTTTTACTTTTCTTTAAGAGAAACATAAATTAATATTTTTTGACTACTATTGTTTTCATTTTTTTTTTTTTGAGGCAGTGTCTCATGTAGCCCAGGCTGGCCCTGAACTCAGTATGTAACCAAAAGATGGTCTTGAATTCTTTTTTTTCTGCAATTCCCGAGGAGACCAGAAGAGGGCATCAGATTTCCTGGAACTGGAGTTACGGAAGGTTGTTAGTCACCATGTGGGTGCTGTGAACCAAATCCAGTTCTTCTGGAAGAGCAGCCAGTGAGTGCTCTTAACTCCTGAGCCACCTCTCCAGGCCAGCCTTGAATTTTGATCTCCATCCTCCACTTCCAATGTGCTGGGATTACTTTTCGCATGTACCACCAGGCCCAGCTAAAATGTTAACTACTAAAACAGAAACACTTTTCTCTAAATTGTTCCCAGCTGTGGAAGGAAACAACCGCTTTAGCTGCAAATAAACCTAAATAAAGCTAAAAGTAGGAAAAGTAATGAAAAGACTTAAGAATAGATGAATAAAACCTCAGAAGTTTATGGGAAAATCTGCACTATAGACTGTTCATTCCAATTTCCTGGTGATCCAGGGAAATGTCTATAGTTTTCTGGTACAGAGTGGGCACCACCTCCCAGGCAAACACCCAGTCAAAATCTTTCAAAAACTCAGCTAGTACACATTTCCACTTAATCACAAACAAAACTCTAAAAAGTAGGCATGGAAGCTCAGTGACCAAAACTTGGTCATTTCTTCAAGATCACTTCATGTTTCTGCTCACAAATGGAAAAGCCCATTTCTGTTGTTTATTTCTTGGTGTTTTAAAATTGAACCTACATGACTACAAAGTCCTGAGCTTCCTTCCACTCTACTGCTTGTTCTGGAGAAGACTCATGTTTTTGTTTGCTTGATGGTAATTTAAAAATAACATTGTGTGTGTGTGTGTGTGTGTGTGTGTGTGTGTGTGTGTGTGTGTAAGTGTAAAGGACAGCTTGCAGGAGTCAGTGTTCTCCTTCCATCATGTGAGTCCCAGGGAATTGAACTCAGGTTGGTAGGTTTGGTGGCAAGCAGCTTTACCTGCTCAGGCATCTCTCTGGCCCTTGCTTGTGTTTTAAGTGTAAGAACATGTAAAGAGGTTCTGGAGAGATGGCTTTGTAGTTAAGAACACTTCCTGCTCTTGCAAAGGACCCAAGTTTAGTTCTCAGCACCCATGTTGGGCAGCTGCTATCTGCCTGTAACTCCAGCCCCAGGAGATCAGACACCCTCTTCTGGCCTCCATGAGCACCTGTACCCATGTGTATACACACACACACACACACACACACACACACATAAATTAGTAAATTTTCCAAAGAATTTGTGAAGAACTTACAAGTCAGTAGCAAGACAAACCAAAAGTGAGTGAACAATCTGATGAATATCTTTCCAAAATACATAAATGACAAATGCTGTTCCACATCTTTGTATCATATAAAAGGACAGCCTTGAACTCCTGGTCCTCAAACCTTCACCTCCCAAGTGCTAGGATTTGGGCATGCACTCCCACACCTGTCTAATAAAGGTCCGCATCTTTAACTATTTAGGGAAATATAAAGCAAAACCATAATCTACTTCAGTAGGACAGCTATAAGTCAAGAAACCAGACTTCAACAAGTGTCCAGCATGTGAAGAGCCTGATGTACAGACACTGTAGCCAAGAGTTGTACAGTTTCTCAAAAAGTTAAAATAGTGAATGGCCATGTAACATAGCCATTCCACTACTCAATAGAAAATAAAACATATATCCACATAAAGTCTTCTCCATGAATATTCATAGCAGCATTTTTTTATAACAGCCAAAAAAGTGGAAACAACCCAAATGTTGACCAGCTGATAGGCAGATAAAGTGCAAATACACACACCATATGGTGGCATATTACCAGACAATATAAAAGGAGTGAAGTGCAAATATACAATGCAATGTGGATGAATCTCAAAAAGGAGGCCGAGAGGACAGGCAGACAAGAAAGACTGCACGTGTGATCCCAGTGACACAAAACTTTCAGAACAGACAGGTAGCACAAAATAGATAATGGCTGCCTGTGACGGCTAATCTTGGTTTTCAACTGACTAGATCTGGAATCAACAACAATGCAAGCTGTTGAGCCCTCCAGTGAGGCTCTTTCTTGATCACATTATTTGAAGTGAAAAGACCTAATGTGGGTGGCACCTTGTGGTGTGGCCCAGATAAAAGGATGTGGAAAAAAACGAAGTCTGCTCTTTGCCTGCTTGCCTTCACTTTGTTGGCAAGTACGTCTATGCTGTTGCCACCACTGCTGCATTTGTTGGTATTAGAACCAGTTTCTACAGATTTCCAATGTAGACTGAAGAGCAACAGCTCTCCAGGAACCCTCCAGGCCTTCAGCTCCAGATTGGGACTGAGGAGACAGTCAGTTCACATTCAGCCTCATTCTTGGCCTTTTGACTGTGAGACAACCATTGTATGAGTCTAACTGTGTGAGACTACTCAGACCATATCATGTAAGCCAATGTAATAAATGTCTTTTAATATACATTCATTCTATTCGTTCTGTACCACTAGGGAGCCCATGGGAGGGGAATGAGGAGTGGCTGCTTACAAAAAAACAAGGTTTATTTACGGAGCAATCTTTTTTCCCTTTAATTTGTATGTGTGCGTGTGTGTACATGCAACCGCACATGAATACGTGTGCACATGCACACACAGGTCATAAGTCAACCTTGGATGTCCTTCCTCAAGAACTGCCCACTTTGTTTTTTGAGAGATCTGTTACCTGGACCTGGAGCTTGCCAATTAGGCTAGTCTGGCTGGCAACCAAGCCCCAGGGATTGGCTTGTCTTTGCCTCCCCAGCATCAGGATTACACATTATTTCTCTGTGGGTGCTGGGGATCAAACTCTGGTCCTCATGCTCACACAGCAAGCACTTTATCATCTGACCTTCCTCCTCACACCCTGGGGTGCAGATATTTTAAAATTAAATTGCGGTGACACCTGAATATATTAAAAATCTTTTAAGTATTCAATTTAAATGGCTGGATTTTATAGCACCTAAATTATATTTATATCTTACATATATGAGTGTTTTGCCTGGATGTAAGTGTACAACGTGTGCCCAATGCCCACAGAGGCCAGAAGAGAGCCTCAGATTCCCCTGGAACTGGAGTTACAGGCAGTTGTTAGCCACCATATGGGTGCTGGGAACTGAACCTGGGTCCTTTACAAGAGCAGCAAGTACTCTGAACCGCTGAGCCATTTCTCCAGCCCCTCTAAATTACATCTTAACAAAACTTTTCTTTTTTTAAGTCAAGATGCGTTTTCAGTATATGAATGGCCAGTGTGAGCCTACATTTCTTCCACCTAAGCAACCACCTCCCACAAGCTGAAGGAGGTTGGTGCTGGCCCATTTCCACAGCTTGTATTTTGGGATTTACATTTTGCATAAGCCTCTGCAGCACATTTAGGGTTTTCTGTTGTTATTTAATGTGTGGGTAATGTTTACTTATTCATTTATTACTTATTTATTTTTTGAAGCTCGAGGACGAATTTATTTGCGTTTTCGAGAAAAATGGCAGAGCAGGCAAGTTGTGAAACTTGGCAACTTGAAGAGAAGATGATGTATAAGAGAGGAAAAGAGGGGGCTGGAGAGATGGGTCAGCGGTTAAGAAAAGTGGTTGTTCTTGCAGAAGACCCGCAAATCCTAGCACCCACACGGCAGCTAACAACTGTTCTTAACTCCAGTCCTATGGGATCTGACAGCCTCTTCTAACTTCCGCCGACACTGCACGACACGGGTACACTTGCCTACATGCAGGCAATACATGCACACTATACATAAACTAAAAATAACAAAATCTTAAAAATTAAAAAAGAGAGGAAAAGAGAAAGTTGCACCTCTGAGTTCAAAATAGAGGTCTGAAAAAGCTGCCTGGGGGCTGGAGATGTAGCTCAGTTGGTAGAGGGCTTGTCTATCGTGCACGAAGCCCTGGCTCAAGCCCCGCTTCCATCCTCAGCTCCACATAAAAATCTGAAGTGGTACTTCTTTGGTAACCCCACGTACGACGTGGTGGCAGGAGGAGGAGAGTTCAAGGCCACCCTCCAATACACAGCAATCGGAAGCAAACGCGGGTTACATGGTAACTGCGGGGGTGGGGAGAAAAAGCTATGCTTTCTGACCGAAGGGCTTAGCAGTGATGCAACTGTTAAGTGTGCAACTGCCACAAGCGAAAACATTCCTAAAAACCAGAGTTCATGCTTTAACTAAAGCTGCTTTGAGGAGAGCGCGCCCACGTGCCTTCTATCCACACGCCCCAGGGCGCCTCACCACGTGGTCCCTCGCCGTCACAGGTGCCACACGGGGCGGCCAGCGCACTCCCAACCACGCCGCTACCTCGCGGCGCCCCGCCACCCTCCGCTCTCCGCGCAGCCCAGGCACGCCGTACCTCAGGAGCTCCCACGCGGCCGCAGCCCGAGCCTCGCGCCTTCCCCCTCCGCCGCGGGGCGGGGCCCAGCCTACCCCAGCTAATATCGGGACCTGAGAGGAGCGAGGGCAGGAGCCCGGGGTCACGACCCTTGTCCCCGAGCGCCACCCCCACCCCCACCCGCAAGAACACATCGTGTTCGCAGAAAGGGTGCGGGAGCGTGGGCAGCCGGGGTCTGCGTGGCGCACGTGGCGCCCTCGCGGCGAGTTCCGGGCTGCGCGGCGTCCAGGCGGCGAGGCCCACTGCGGCGCGGCACCGGAGTGTCGGGCGCGGTCCGCACGGGCTCCGGCTTAGGGCGGCTCTCTGTAGGAGGGCGGGGACCGCGGGGAGGCGGCGGCCGCAGAGGGGAGGGGCGCGGGCGGGGTGGGCGGCCCGGTCGGTCCGTCCGTCCACCGTCGGGCGGGCTCCGGACACACTGCGGTCGCCTCCGCGGCGGCCCCTCCGGTCCCTGGGAGTGTGGGCAGGGCTGCCGGGGGCTTCCGTGGGCTTGGCCTCTCTCCCGGGAGGAAAAGCAGGGGGAAGCCCCCGGCGCCCGCCGGACCCCAACGCTGCGGGCTGAGCACGGCCGGGCGGGGCGCTGCGCCGAGCCTGTCGCCTGCCGTGTCCGGAGAGGCGCGGGCCCCAGCCACAGACCGAAGGGCCCCACCCTGCCGGGCGTGGGCGACTGCCGGCCAGGGGCCTCGCGGCGGCGGCGGCCTGCAGCACCCAGTCCCGGGGAATGCAGTGGCCCCCGACCCCTGGCGCCTCTCGGTGTCTCGGCTGGGCCTCCTCGCTCGCTTGCTCCGTGGCCTCGACGCTCCCGGGCCGCGGCGGCCCAGCCCCCCTCATGGCCGCGAAGTGGTTCAAGGAGTTCCCGCTGACCCTCAAGACGGCGTCGGAGCGGGCCAGGCCCGGGGGCGGGGGCGGCGGCAAGTTGCGCAAGAACTCGGAGGCGGGCGGCGCGGCGCCCACCCCGGCCAAGGGCCGCAAGAACTCGGCGGCTGAGCTGGGGAGCGCCAGGGCCAGCGGCGGGCCCCCCAAAGACAGCCGGCTGTCCCGGGACAGCCTGCAGGGTCTGATACAGGCTGCGGCCGGTAAGGGCCGCAAGAACTCCCGGGCCACCGAGGAGGAGCCCCACCGGGGCGCAGCCAAGAGCTCGGGCTGCAGCACCTACATTAACAGGCTCATCAAGGTGGACACTCAAGAGAAGAATGGCAAGAGCGGCTATCCCGGCGGCGGTGGCAGCAGCAGCTCCGGGAGCTCAAGCAGCTCCTCTTCCTCTGCATCCTCTTCCCCTTCCTCCCTGGGTCCCGAGCTGGACAAGGGCAAGATGATGAAGCAGCAGGACACGGTAAGAATCTAGCTTCTCCGCCCTCCTCTCGGTACAGGGGGTGCACGGGAGCCTGCTGAACTCTAAGCCAGGGCATTACACTTAGAGTAGGGGAAAATATTTCATCTTGAAAAAAATCCTCATCTAAGGGTCGGAGACCTTTGCACGAATGTCTGTTGAATGCACTTAGTGGTTTAGAAAAGAGTAGTTGAAGGGAAGGAAAAGAAATAGACTCTTTTGTGGCTGTAGTGGTTCATAATTTTAATTTTGACATCAGGGGCTCTGCAAAGCTAGACTACTGTGTGACTTTTATATTTCTTGAGCATATGGAACAATAGCCTCCAAACTGTGTACGTATGGATTTCCCAGCTTCGGGAACCTAGTAAAGGGCCTCAGAGTTTCAGCACCTTCAACATGACAGGCTTTCCATTGATTCCGTGGATATTTGTTGTGCAGAACCATATAGGGTAAGGGCCATGGGGCACTAAGGGATGTGGGGGGATACAGCCAATAAGAAGGAAATGCCCTTAAGGAAATTACGGATCAGGAGAGAAGGTGTTTCCTGCTTCTTAGTCACCAGAGGACTTATGGGTGCTGTCCAACGTGGGAAGGTAACGAAAGGCGAGTGCACCTGTGAGCAGACTCCATCCTCGCAGGGAAGAGCTGGGTTTTCTCCGCTGTGAAAGTGGGAGAGAGACCAGCTCCACCTGAGAGTTCAGGCTCCAGTCCAAGCAATCCCTTCCTGGTGAGGGACTTTAATTTTCTCTTAGTAGGCTTTAAACAAACTGTCTACCTAGACAGTCTTGTAATGCCATGTCGCATATATTGGGCACCTCTGTTCATTCCTCCATTCAGTTGTTCACAGTGTGCCTACCCTGTGCCAGGCCCTGAGCAAAGTCGTGGAAAGATGGATGTGCAATCAGTTAATATATAACTTGGTGGTATACCTCACTGTTGGACAATATCATCACAGCCCAACTTAAAGCCAAGAACTGAGCATCACATCCTGTCTTCCTCACTGTTCCTTGCAACTGCAGCACATGTTGTGACTAGTTAAGGAGAATGGGATGGAGTAAGGACAGTCCTCTGCAGTGGATGCTTGGCTATTGCCATGGGGTCCCTTCTGGGTAGCTGAGGCTTCTTCAGTCACCTCTCCAAGGTGGAGGACTCATCCAGTGTGTTCCTTTCTTTTCACCTCTCCCTTCATTGTCTGAATTCTTCCCTTCCACCCAGTAGTACTTCTGAGAACATTCTACCAGAGATTGTGGAGCAGGGCTCTGAGCTTCCTCCTGAGAATTGTTTCCCATTCTTGGTGGTATCACCCAGCTACTGCAGAGAAGAAGTACTGTGCGCACATGCAGTGCTTGTCCAGGCCCTGGGTGGCTTTGGGATGATAGATGTCCTTGGACCCAAATATCAAGTCTTCAGCTCATCTGTAGCTGAGGAATCACTTGTGAATTACGAGAACCTAGAACTTCTGCAGTACTATTCCATATCAGGCTATGAAGCCTGTCTTTGAAGCTGCTTTTTTGTTTTGTTTTTTGTTTTGTTTTGTCTTTTTTGAGACAGGGTCTCCCTGTAGTCCCAGCTGTCCTGGAACTCACTATGTAGACCAGGCTGTCCTCAACTCACAGACATCCCCCTGCTTCTGCCTCCTGAGTGCTGGGATTAAAGGCGTGTGCCACCACGCCCGGCTGAAGCTGTTTTTAAAAATAAAAAATAAAAAACTCCTTCAGGCCGGGTGTGGTCTGTGAGTTCGATGCCAGCCTGGTCTACATACTGAGTTACAGGACAGCTGGGGCTACAGGGAGACCCTGTCTCAAAAAGACCAAAAAAAAAAAAAAAAAAATTCCTTCATGACAGGAAGCAGGTCTTGGACTCATTTTGACTCCCTCTCAGCACTGAGCCAGTGCATAGAGGTGACTGATTCACTGGGACTAGATTGCTCAGCTCATTGGAGCAGAGAAGACCCAGAGCAATGGGTACACGGTAGAGCAATTCATTTTTTTATAAGCTAAGGCCACAGGCACCTCCACATTTCACCACCCACCCTCTGTCCCATAAGTGCTTTACTGATTGGAGAGAGAAAGAAGGGTGAAAAGAGCCTTGGGGATAAGAGTTTAGATAAATTGTTACAAATCAACTAGAAAAACAAGAGTTTTATGGGATGGAGATCACCTCTCTGGAACTGAAAAGAGATTTTGACTCCTCAGATTTGTAGGCGATTTAGGTAGCCATTTTGATACCGTTGATATCTCTAGCAACTGACCTTTCCTGTTTGGCAGGTCATCATTTTAGAAGACTATGCTGACCCTTATGATGCGAAACGGACAAAAGGCCAAAGAGATGCAGAGAGAGTAGGTGAGAATGATGGCTACATGGAGCCCTACGATGCACAGCAAATGATAACAGGTTTGTAACTGGGTTCTGTGAAAAGACAGAAATAAAATCGTAACCAGAGAAAGAACAATTTAACCAGATCTTGCTGACTGGAAGAAACAAATTAGACCCAAATCTAAGAGAACTGTCTTAACTTCTATTATAGTTTAGTGTCTTTCAGCATTTTTAGAATTTGAAGAGTTTTATGGTTTTTAAGTTTTTCTAATTATGTGCAAGATCTGACATTTGACAATTTACATCTTCAGGGACTTTATAAAGTTTTTTATATACACATGCCACTGCATGCTGATTGAAGTCAGAGGACAACATACAGGTCCCAGGGATCGAACTCAGGTTGTCATATGAGGCTTAGTGGCAGGTACCTTTGCCTGCTGAGCTATCTCATCAGCCTCATGGTCTTCTGTTTTTAAGATTATTGATAAACCATTCTTGACTACTTTCAAAAACATTAGCATCTATAATGGGAGTCACAAATCAGTAAAAATATATGTTTAAGGGATTTGAGTTGTAAAAAGTTGGAAATGTAACATCCTCTATTGTGGCAGTTTTTTCTCAAGTTCTTCGACATATCAAAGCAATTACTGAGGAACAATTAACAATTTGTCAGCCATTCAAGGGAAATTACCTAAAACCAAAACTAATCTTGTCATTTTTCAAACCAAAACCAATCCAATGTGAGCTAAGCAAACCCTCTGTAATTTTTCGTGTCAAACTTTTCCTTTTCATTCATAGTTTTCTTAAGTTGTAAATAGTACTTTAATCAAAATAATATAAACTAACTATTCAGATTTATTTAGTGTTTGGTTTGGGTTTTGGTTTGGGGTTTTTGTTGTTGTTTTGTTTTTTTGAGACGGTCTCACTATGTAAACCTATGCACAACTTTTTACAACTTAATGTGTAGACCAGGCTGGTCTTGATCTTACAGAGATTTCAGCCTCTTGAGTGCTGTGATGAAAGGTACGGGCTACCGTGCCCAGCTTTATTTGGGAATTTTTAAGTAAACAATTTAGCTGATTTTCCTTAAACACCCATAACGAAAACATGGTTTCCGAGTGCTGAGCTGTGTCTGAATGTCCTGTTCAAACATGAAAGATTTTGCTCTGTTGAAACACATTGAAAAGCTGTCCTGTCCAGACAGGCTGGGTAAGCTGTCCCTGCAGAGGTGAGTAGAGGGGCAACAGTAACAACCTGGAAAGGCTGAGATAGGCTCAGAATGACCAGGAACTACAGGAAAGCTCAGCTCTGTTTCCTGCTTCTCTGCTTGCAGAGATAAGGAGCTACTTTGGGGAGGGTGTGCCCGGACCCTCCAGGTCACTAGACCGTGACCCCTAATGAAATCTGTGAATGAAAGGAAGTAAAAATGAAATTAGTCACTTTTACAAAATATTAGAGATTTAAAAGGAATAAGAAAGGATTGACTTTTACATTTAATTGAGGAAAAGGATTTTCTTTCCTTTTTATTTCTTTAGTTTTTATTTTCATACATGAGTATAGTACATTTGGATCCTACCCACCCACTCCCCCCAACTCCTCCTTTGTGCCCACATACATCCCCCTCTCAAATTCATAGTCTCTTCTTCCATCTATTTATCTATCATCTATCTATCTATCTATCTATCTATCTGTCTGTCTGTCTGTCTGTCTGTCTGTCTGTCTGTCTATCTATAAAACAGGTAGTATATAAAGCATGTAAAACCTACTGAGTGTTGTCCATATGCACATAGATATAGGTCTGATCACTGGGACGTGGGTAACCTACAAGGGGGCTCATCCCTGAAGGAAACTGCATTTCCCCTCCTTCAGTAACTGTGGACTGCCTGAAGCTCTTCAATTAGAGGTGAGGCCTAGTAAGCCCTTCCCCATCCATCTGGGACATCAACCATGTTGTCTTATCAGGCAACCATACTGTTTCGAGTTCATGGGTGCAACATCCCTGTCATGTTTAGAAGATGCTATTTCACAGCTGTCCTCCCAGTCCTCTGGCTCTTAAAATCTTTCCATCCCTCATCTATGATGTTCCCAGAGCCTAGAGTGAAGAGGTTATGTTTAAAGGGACATTTGGGGATGTGTACTCCACAGTCACTTACTCTCTGCACTTTGACCAGTTGTGGTTCTCTATAATAACCTCCATCTACTGCAAAACGAAGTGTCTTTGATGAGCTGCACTAATCAAGAAAACCTGCAAGTGTGGTCTTCTTTTTAATTTTTAAAAAATTTCGTGCTGTGGATTGAACCAAGGACCTTGAGTATGCCAAGCAAGCAGTGAGCCCTCTGAGCTACATCTTCAGTCCTAAGAAAAAGGGTTTTCTAAAAGAAAAACAATGCTTAACTTTCATTCGTCTTTCTTTTTGTTTTTTTATTTTTGTGTGTATATGTGTGGGCACACATGTGCCACAGTTTGCACATAAGGAGGTTAGAAGACAACTTGCAGGAGTTGGTTCTTTCCTTCCACCATGTGGTTCCCCAGGGATTGAACTCAGCTTGTAAGACTTGGCAGCAAGCACCTTTACCTGCTAAGCCATCTTGCTGGCCCTCCATTAGTTTTCAATTCTTCTCTTTCTCTTTATAATAGGTGGTCTGTCTAGACTGTTCCAGCTATTTATTTGGGGCAATGTGCTGGTAATAAGGAAAATGCTATATTTAAAAAAAAATACCAGTTTAGGGGCTGGAGAGATGGCTCAGCGATTAAGAACACTGACTGTTCTTGCAGAAGACCTGGGTTTGAATTCCAGCACCTACATGGCAGCTAACAATTGTCCATAACTCCAGTTCCAGGGGATCCGACAGCATCTTCTGTCCTCCATGGACATTGCATGACACAGGTGCACTTACCTACATGCAGGGATAAGACTCATACACATAAAATAAAAATAATAAATAAAATGCTTTTTCAAAGACTGAAATATAAATAAATAAATTTAATTTTAAAAAATACAGGTTTATTAATGTAGGAGATTATGACCTTGAACTTCTCATACTCCTGTCTCTGCCTCCCAACTGCTGGGATTACAAGGCATGTACTGCCACATACAGTTATGTAGTGCTGCAGTCTCATGCATTCTCTAGCAACTGAGCTACATCCCCAGCCCCACTTAAAAAAAAAAAAAAAAACTCCACAAAAACTATCTAAAGTAAAGGACAGTAACACTTTTCCTCATTATTGAGTTAAAAAAAAAAAAGCAAGACTAGAGGAATTCAGATAATGTATACAGGCATGAACCTACTGCGGAATACATGTGGAGGTCAGAGGACAACTTGCAGGAGTTTGTTCTCCCCTTCTACCATATGGGTTCCAGGGCTCAAACCTACGTCATCAGGTTTGGAGGCAAGCACCATTTTTTTTAAAAAGGCAAAATCTCCTGGGTGTGGTAGCACACAGTGCACGTCTTTAGCCCCAGCACTCGGAAGGAGGAGGCAAATGGATCTCTGTGAGATGGAGGCCAGCCTGGTCTGCATAGCAAGTTCCAGGCCAGCTGTGGCTTCAGGGAGACCCTTTCTCGAAAAGATTTAAAAAAAAGAGGCAAAGTTTGCTCACTTTATGACCTAGGCTGGCCTTGAAGTTAAAGCAATTCTCCTGCCTCAGCCTCCCAAGTGCTGGGATTACAAGCGTGTACCACAACATCTGGCTTCCCAACACTTTTTCAGAGACAGACAAGGGATTTGAGCTCAGATCTGCCATTCCAAATTGAGTTGATCTGACCCTAGTGCTACCTGGCCCTGAAGACGCACCTGAAATGATACCTGCATACCACTGTAAACGACCCAAAACTAGGCTATCATTCCAATCAGATTTGCTAGATACATTATATACCAAAGTCAAAATTGAGCCTGGAGTGGTAGTACATGCCTATAAACCCAAGATGTGGGAGACTGAGGCAGGAGGATCTTCAATTCAATCAAGGCCTGCCTCAGCTATATCCTGAGTCCTTAAGAACCCCCCCAACACACACACACACACACACACACACACACACACACACACACACACACACAAATACACACCTCTCCCAGCACTGAAGGCAGAGGCCAGCAGAGCGCTGCGAGTTCCCAGCCAACCAGGGCTACATAGTGAGATCCTACCTCAACAAAAGAGAAATAAATAGGGGGCTGGAGAGATGGTTCAGCAGTTAAGAGCACTGGCTGCTTTTGCAGAGCACCCAAGGTTGGTTCCTAGCACCTACATGACTTATCAACCATCCTTTACTCTAGTTCCAGGGGATCCAACTCCCTCTTCTGGCCTCTGTAGGCACTGTACAGCATGGGTGCACTTACATACATGCAGTCAAAATACTCATACACATAAAATAATTTAAAAATTTTGCCAGGCGTGGTGGTGCATGCCTTTAATCCCAGCACTTGGGAGGCAGAGGCAGGCAGATCTCTGTGAGTTCAAGGCCAGCCTGGTTTACATAGTGAGTTCCAGGACAGCTGGGGCTACAGGGAGACCCTGTCTCAAAAGGAC